TCGACCTCTTCGGTGACATCTTCCATCATTTCATCAGTCAATGATGAAGGTACTAAAGGCGTTACCGAAGAGGTGGATAAAGAGAAAGAAGTGACTGATGAAATGATGGAAGATGTCACCGAAGAGGTCGAGATCGAAGAAGCAGTCGTTGAGGAAGTGGTTGAAGAAAGCATTACTGAAGAGGTAGATATAGAGGTAGAAGTGACGGATGGAATGATTGAGGTTGGTGTCACCGAAGAGGTGGAGATCGAAGAAGCAATCGAAGGTGAAGTGTTTGAGGAACGCATTACCGAAGAGGTGGATATTGAGGAAGAAGTGACTGATGGAATGATTGAAGAAGGTGTGACCGAGAAGAAGGAGGAAGAAGGTGACAAGAAAGAGAAGGACGAAGATAAAGGTGTGAAAGGAAAGGAGAACAAACGACATCGCAATCCATTTGACAAAATTCGCCGCCAATTCAGACGCTTGAATCCTTTCTCTTAAATCAATAACTGAGAGACGCATTTGGGAGATCTAAACTTCCCTGCTATATTTACTATTATTCTTACAATTTTTATTAAGTTTCAATAACAATAATTAAACGCCACAATATCTCTTTTGGTTAATTTTTCTACTCAAGGGAAGAGTGATTCAAAGGTGCGACATAGACAGACAGACAGATAGACACAAAGGCAGAGAAGAGGTAATATGAGTACGGTAGAAGTGGTCGACTATGACATACAGTCGGGTAATGGCAGTTAGAATTCAGAAGGTACTAAAGGCATTACCGAAGAAGTAGATAAAGAAGAAGAAGTCACTGACGGAGTGATGGAAGAAGGTGCCACCGAAGAGATCGAGGTCGAAAGAGCAAGCCCTAATGAAGTAACTGACGGTATTACCGAAGAGATGGATATGCAGGAAGAAGTCACAGATGAAGTGCTTGAAGCAGGTGCTCCCGCTAAAGAGGACAAAGATGATGGTGACAAAGATGAAGTTGAAGATGGTGATGATGACAAAGAAGATGGTGACAAAAAAGATGATGACGAAGAAGAGAAAGACAAAGATGAAGATGGGAAAGGAAAAGACGAAAAACGACATCGCAACCCACTTGATAAACTTCGCCGCCAATTCAGACGCTTGAAACCAGTCTTTTAAATCAATAACAGAGTGATGCTTCAGAGAAATCTAAATTTCCCTGCTTTATCTGCTATTATTTTAAAAAAATTTCTTTAATTTTCAAATACAATAATCAAACGCCACAATATCTCTTTTGGTTAATTTTTCTACTCAGAGGATTATCAAGGTGCAATCACGTAATTGCTATGCATTCTCAACGTCCGTACATTAGATATGCTCAAATCCCTTGCATTCACTGTCTGACTCTGACACTAAACTGAGATTTGGAACCATCGCATGAGCAACCAATGTGTGATAGAGTGGTGATTAGTTAATTATTCATTCACTCTAATTACTTGAACTGAGCTACCACCAAAAAGATGGGAATGGAAGCAAACGTGATTGGTGGGAACTGGGAGAGAAGTGAGGAGGAGAGCAATGCCACTGAACACAGGTGCTGGGAGAAGTGGGAATCAATAATTGATTCATGAAGAGGGGAATATAACTTGCTTAGAAAATGTTGACCATATATTGCAACAGATTACTCAAGTATGCAGTAGAGTCGTTACATTAGGCGTTAACTTCTGGTAGATTTATTTGCTGTTTGGTTGTTTCAATTTCGAGGTGGGGAATAGATAGTTGTGCGCACACATTTGTTTACCACCGTTTGTCTAGTAACTAGTACAATGCTCACGAAATTTCCCTTGTACCTTAAAGCCGCTTTTCCCCAAGATCGCACTTTTATGATGAGATGTGTGGGGTGTGGGATAGACTTACCTCCACGTTGTGCACACTGGCCAACGTATACTCATACGGCAAAAAAGTCTATTAACCGGCAGTTGACTTCTCTCTTCAAACAACCATCACCATCCAATCCTGTATGTCATATTCGATCACTTCAACAGTACTCATTTTACCCTTCCTGAGCCTTTCTGTCTCTTTTACATCTGTAAATCACTCTTCTATTCCCCCTCCCGAATTCTCCTCACTTTGATGTTCCTCCTCTCTGTGAAGCTTGAAGTCAACTAAAGGGCTAATTATAACTATCAAAACCCCTGCCATTTGTTATAAATAAATGATGGGATGTGTTCGATCATTCCCTCCTCAAAATGTTAATCTACGAATGTTGACTAATTTTCCTCCCCAATGCTACGCAAGCATCCAATTCACCCCTATAGATCTAGCTTCTATGCTGCCTCATATTGTCAATTGCATGTTAATAAACTTAAGGACTAAAACGTTCTCGTCGTCCCATTGTCCCAATTTACACCCACGCCTCACAACCTGTCGCCTACCGCATTCTATGGATCCCCACTATCTGATCAAACCACACGCCCAACCCTATGTATCATCACTCGAGGTGGGTTTAACAGCCTCGATTCTTTATTTTAGAGCACGAAACATTGATTTCTGAGTCGGATAAAATAGCTACTTGTGGGACATGCTATCGCTGTGTGCGTCATCGATTCTGTGTGCAGCGACCGTACAAACAGTAACCAATCGTCAGCCTCTGTTTAACCTAATCCTCCATCCTGATCATGAGTAGCTCCCTGCGTGTACGCACTTATCCGCAACTTACCCACTGAATAAACGTGCTCCGTGCTACACGTCTGTTTCCTTTATAGCTGGGCTTTAGCTTAGCTGGTTCTGGGAGTCTAGCTAGATGCTTGAGAATCTGCCATAGAGATTTCTGAGTCAGTCAGTTTGAGCACATTAAGAACGAGATTTTGATTTTACCATTCCACTTACCGATTTTTTATCTCTCGAATTCGCCATCATTTTGTGAATATTTACCTTAGTAAAATTGAAATAATGTCTCAATGGAGGTATTGCAAGGTGCTTTTAGGTTTCAAATTTTGTGGAATTCAAACAACGCATACGAATATCTGTCATTTTTCATGGCGAAAAATATTTTTGAGCTTCGGTGAGTGTAGGCCAAACATTCAACCATATTTCACCTTGAAGGTGTGAAAAAGTGGACGTTCCAGTAGGTTCTTGTAATTCTGAGACTTGGAGATTGAGTGGTTTGAAGTTTGAACTATGGTTGGAGCATTCTTAGTGCATTGATGCCAATCAGTTTTCAAAGTGCATCTTTGGAGGTCTTTCTGGATGCAATCGAGTGGCAATAAGTCCTTTCGTTAAGAGGGCAGTGGGAGATAAAGTACTTTGAGTGGACCACTTATAGTCGAAGTGACACCGTGGAGGAATGAAAAATAAGTCAGAGGGAATTGAAGGATTTCGAGATGGTTCCTTCTATGACTACAAAAGTTGCTTGGAATATGTAGAAAGCGAAGTGCACACTGGGAGCGGTGCTTGAAGGTGAAAGAGCCTAGTAAGACACAGTGGTGACAACAAAAGTAGAGTGCAGTTGAGGAGTTGAAGAAGGAGGTTAATAGAAGCAGTCGTGTGTGGATTGAGAAGGTGCCTGGTTGAGATGGTTGAAGGAGATGGAGATTGTAGTACTAGGAGTACTGAGTGGAGTATTTTTATTTAATTTGAACTGGCCCTAAAATAATAAGCAAATAGCTAATTTTCAACTTTCTCTACACGACTGTAAACAAAGTCACTCGAGTTGTAAAAAAGACACTTCAAAGATTAATATCNNNATGTACTATAAATCAGGTGACGAATTTGTTAGGGATATCCAATTATTTTCGAAATCTGTAGGTGAAGGATAGGAGTACTATGTGGTGTTACATGAGGAGGAGGGTATAAAAGGGGAGCCAGTTGGGAGAATCATCAAACCAACCAAGCACAATGATGACAAAGAAGACTCTCGTTCTCATCTGCATCGCCACTCTCCTTACCTGCGCTCTCACTCAACCACTCAGTGGATATGATACTCCTTCTAACCAGATTGTGAAACACGAATTTTATGCTGAAGAGAATAGAGAGGGAGAAGTTACTGATGAAGTGATGGAAGAAGGTGTCACCGAAGAGAAGGAGATGGAAGGTGCAGTCAATGATGAAGGTACTAAAGGCGTTACCGAAGAGGTGGATAAAGAGAAAGAAGTGACTGATGAAATGATGGAAGATGTCACCGAAGAGGTCGAGATCGAAGAAGCAGTCGTTGAGGAAGTGGTTGAAGAAAGCATTACTGAAGAGGTAGATATAGAGGTAGAAGTGACTGATGGAATGATTGAGGTCGGCGTCACCGAAGAGGTGGAGATCGAAGAAGCAATCGAAGGTGAAGTGGTTGTGGAAGGCATTACCGAAGAGGTAGATATTGAGGAAGAAGTGACTGATGGAATGATTGAGGAAGGTGTGACCGAGAAGAAGGAGGAAGAAGGTGACAAGAAAGAGAAGGACGTAGATAAAGGTGGGAAAGGAAAGGACAACAAACGACACCGCAATCCATTTGATAAAATTCGCCGCCAATTCAGACGCATTTGGGAGATCTAAACTTCCCTGCTATATTTGCTATTTTTCTAACAATTTTTTTTAATTTTCAATAACAATAATTAAACGCCACAATATCTCTTTTGGTTAATTTATCTACTCAAGGGAAGAGTGATTCAAAGGTGCGACATAGGCAGACAGACAGACAGACAGATAGACACAAAGGCAGAGAAAAGGTAATATGAGTACGGTGTAAGTGGTCGACTATGACATACAGTCGGGTAACGGCAGTCAGAATTCAGAATTCCACTGCCGATTTATTAACTATTTAGTCGTATGGGTATACGTTGTCCATGGTGCATCACAAAGAGGTAAGTTTACCGCACACCCTATTTGATACAATATTAATTGCTATATCTATATTTATTCTGTAAGGTTTTATCCGAACACGCAAAAGCTCTGATCTGCATAAGGTGCTTTTAAGAACTCGATGAGTTAGAAAGGGAAAGTACTGCCACATCTTGCACTGGAAGTGCAATATTGCCACCAGATCATTTACAAGTCATCTCCTTGTCGTGGCCAAGGCAATCCAATGCATAATAAGATCAGTCGTCTTGATTCGTATGTCTCTTTGTCTACCAATTGCATCCCTCCACATTAAGGTCATTAGATCGTTTCCATCTTTTTGCCCAATTGCATTACGACTGAACCACAAACTCCTGGCTCATAGGAAGACTCACATTTCCTTCGATAAAGTTAGTCTAGTTCAAATGGACTAAAAGGTATGGAAATTAAAGAACTGATTAGCATCACTAAGCAATGCCTAATGCGTTGGCCTAATTCTGTTCTGGACCAGCTGCAAAGTTGTGGGGCTTGGCAAAAAGAAGGAGATGCCCAACTTCGCTCGTCAAAGGTTCATTTGAAATTAATTGACTCCTCAAATTGCATGGTATTAAAATTAAATTAAAAGGCCTAAAAACTTAATGCATTTTTTGCTCACTAGTCAAGTTCAAACGTGCGTATGACATTTGCGGAACGCGTGTCGATTGGGGGCTATCAGATCACATCCAAACCTCTGGGTTTCTGGACAACGCCTCATTAACTCAACAGTTCAGACTGCAATACAAGAAAATATTTAGACAACAAGGGAAGCTTGTCACGGGGTTGCCTTACAAACGGCCAGCAGGCAATAGAGTGACCTTTCACAGGCATCTGATAAGCACATGACGAGTTTTCCCTCAAGAAGGTTAATAAAGTGCTTTGAAACTCACCACTAATTCACATTTGCGATTTGACTGCCGTTGACTGGAAGTTCCGTTTTACTCAGCTACATCTCCTCCCTCCCCTCCTCCTCTCCCAACATCTTTTTGATTGTGAATGTCAATCCATGGCAGACTGTGAATGTGGTGGAATGGCAGTCAAATCTTGGAAAGATGGAAGTTAGTAGGAGGTCAATTTGGTCATTCTATAATTGAATCGTGCGTGCATCGACTCATTAGCCTATTGGAATCTTCGTTCAAGACCTCGAAGGACCCTAAGAGAAAACGGTTTGTTCGAGTTTACACTGTGACATATATCGACTGTGTCCTTGATTTAAGGTACTATAAAAGAGTGAAATGTTAAAAAAAGAGCCAAGTAAATTTTAGGTTATCAAAGAAATTGCTCATTGAAAAGAATAGAATTCCGTTTGTATGAACTCTCTATTTGCCAAATAGGCAAAACAGTACTATTTCTTAGCCCACCTTAATACCGGAGTTAAACCAATTTTGAAAATAGAAGCCAATTTGAACGAGTTCCATATTATCCCTGATTTTGATGACTAAGATGGCGACTTCGAGCATGGACTTCTTGATGAAATGCACGAAGAAGACCATCTCACAATGGTGCTGACAAATTTCAACTTCTAGCACCTCCATTTCCTCCTTGATATCCGCCTCCAGTGCTAGTACTCAAATGACTTGGCAAATCAGAGTTCAAAATGCCGCAGTTGATTTCAATCCGAATTCATTATCTACAAGGTACCTGAGTTTGTGCGAAATCATTAAAATCCCTTTACCAACAATGCTAATCAAGTAGCCAGTCAGAGATTAATTCTTATCGTGCTTATGCAGATCCATTTTCTATTATAGAAAATGGTTATTTTCTGTGATCCCAACCAAGGAGAAGACTTATCGATCTGAGGTTGACGCATCTCTCCAGACTCCGATTGGCTATCGTTTGTCATTATAGTTCATTTTAATATTCATTTCAAGGGACTGAAAAAATACAACTTTTTGTTTAAATCAACTCTCGAAAAATTTGTGTAAACAGTAGGCCATAATAGACAATTCTAAGCCTAACCAATGCAATGCGTTGCGAAATCGAAGTTATCTCAGGAGTTGAGCACAAATTTTCAGCCGATGTTATTCAACAGATGTGACTGAAAATAGTTCCAATAAACGCGAAATTAAAATCATGATTTGTCATCAAAACGAATTAATGCTACTCAAAATTCGTCTTGAGAAATGTTTAGGGGCCGAGCCCTCAGTTCAAATCAAGTTACCACATTTGATTTAGAATTATTCAATCTAAGGAGGAGTGAAGTACAAAAATGGTAAGCGATAATGACGGAAGTCCAGCTGACAAGTTGAGGAGACTGATTGCTGAATTAAATCAAGGACCAATAATGACCGATTCTACGGTATTGGAACTCATTCGCACAATGCTTAGAAACAGAGAATCTCAAGGCCAAGTTTTTAATTTAAGTCAACAAATTTTTGACGCCCTGATAGAAAAAATCATTGCGATTCCATTGAACACATATCCTGAAGTCATCATTATGTCTGCAGTAAATCGTCTTATAAAGGTATTGCTACATAGGGACGAAGATGTTAGGACTATCGTGGTAACTGACGTTCAAATAAATAAACTACAAACTAAATTTGAAGAGCTTAATGAAAATGAAGATCACATTGACTTATTTCTATATGAGTTCTGCAAGGCACTGACTCCATTTTTATACAGCCTCCACCTTTTTTAGCCGAGCCATTCCCTAATGTTGCCCTTCTTTGTTTTTCAGCTATTCCAACATTTGTCGCGAGTCCCACAATTTAGACATCGGCTGATCTTCGTAATTATGTTGGTGGAATACTTTCGCCGCAATTTTCAATATGATATTATGAAACATCCGTGCATTCACGAGACTATCCTATGTTATATCAACCCTGATAGCAAGTTTGATATCCTCGAAATGACTAAATATCTTGAGCTTCTCTTCGATTTGTTGGCTCCTCAGTACAAATCTCGGCATTACTTCGCATTGGTTTATATCAATGAACAAGTTTGGAAATATCCTGAATTATTGGAAAAAATTATTCAAGCACCAAGCGTCATTACTAATTTACTACTCGCATATAACCAAACCTTAATGGAAAAGGTTATTTGGAAAGATGTCAACAAACACGCATTCTTGCATGAGATGTTGCCTCTCTTTGAGTCATTCAAGTCTAGTGAGTTGAGCAGTTATTTTAATACACACACACACACCCCACCACCTTTCTTACTGAGCTTTAAATAATGCTATTATTCCCAGAAAAAGGATTATTTGAGTTCGAACCAAATTTCATTCTGGATTGTGTTGCTGGTTTATATAATGAGCGAGTACTGGCCTTCATTGAACCTCAATATAGACTAGTCTCCACATTATCGATGATGTTACTCAATAATAATTTAACTGATGTAATTGCGAGTGGGTTGTGCATTTTGGAAAAAATTATTTTCAACTTATCAAAAATGAAAAGCAAGGTGATTTCTTCAAATGAGGGCGAGAAGGTGGAAGAACCATGGGATGAATCAGATGTATTCATCAAGGAATTAAGAGACTTTTTGCAGGTTCGTTCTGCCATTGATGCAATTCAAAATCAAGACATGGGTATGTGGCTTGTTGACCAATCATTCTTCTCCTCCGCGTAGATAAATAATGCTTAGAGTTCTTTCTTCAGATACGCTGAATGAAATGTTAAACAAGGGCCTTGACGTTCAACAGTGTGACTCTCGAGGTCAGTCGATTTTCCAATGGATCTGCTCATTCGGTAATCCGGAGATAGTTAAACGACTATGCTCGAAGATGTCAATGAGTGTTCAAAACTATCCGATGGCGCTGCATAGTGCTATGCAATTAGGACGACTTGATATCTGTCGGATCCTGTTTGAGTATTTTACATTCCATAGCGACGCTGAATGTAACGAATTTATGGAAAGAGTGAATCATGTAGATAAGACATGTAGAGAAGAATTCAAGACCATGATCAAAGGTGGATCCATTTAATATTTACTACATTTTTTTTCTAAAATCCGCAAATATCTGTCTCATCTTATCGAAATGTTTGTTTTTTTTCTTGGCAGATCGAATAAAACGATCGAATCAGCGGAAACCAATAGGAAATAATTCACCAAAAACTGGAATAGTAGATGCCAACACAAGAATATTGATTTTTGTGTCGGAAATTCTCTCTGTACTTCTTTTGGCATTCTATCGGCCAAACTTTGAAGCTTTTAGGTAGATTTATTTGTCTAAAAAAGATTATAAATCCAATTCATAATCTAATACTATAATTTACAGATCAACTGGATTATACCTTATGCGTAAATTGATTTCACTGCTGGCAAACAAGAGCTTTGAGTTTATAAGTAGCCTTCCACTTAACGGCTTGCCTTTGAGTCATCATTTTTGTCAGTTGGTGAATACCTGCATTGCTCACGACAACGGAACCATAATTGAACCATCCCTTTTGCTAGTGAATGAGCTTCTGAAAAGCGTCCCTTCAATATATGGAGAGCTGGTGGCGCGCTATCGCTTGCATGATGCGACTAATCGTGCTCGAACACTTCAGGCTCTCAAACTTCTTGAACCAACTCCAACACCAATACCGAATGCGCCAGAAAGAATATCTTATTTATGGCATGGGTGGACGATTTCTCCTGTGAATGAATTGCTCATAATACATAATGATAATGATATTATCAGTTTGAACGTGAATTATAAAAGTAGATTTCTGAAAGGTTATTTCCTTTCTTCTGATATAGATGAGGAGGTGAAGATGCTTGGAAAAGGTTCACCTCCAGTTGAAATTAAAGGCAAGTCGCATACTGATGGTCTTCAATTTAGATTTTTGGACTTTTTTAGGCCTAAAGTACAAATTGCTTTGCCTGGTTGACTTTATTCAAAGAAAGTATTCACAGCAGCAGTTAGACGAAGTGCAATCACAAAATTTAAAAATTAAAATGGGAAAAAGAGCTTCACAAAGACCTTCACCTATGAGCTCTCGAAAGAAATCGAGAAAAATGCTGAGAAATGAAATCACTACAACTAATTCAACAGAAAATTCTTACTCGATACCGACATTTTCATCTGAGGGGACTCTACTGAAAGCAAATAGTGTTAACTTGGCGGTGATTAAATCAGAAAATGGTGACAAGTACCTTCGAGTTCAATTGGCAAATGGCTGCAATCACTATGGCCTCCTTTTGCCGCCATCGATAAAACAAGGTTTCGTCCACATAATTTCTGAAAATTCACCAATGTATCGGTCTAACAGCAACGAAGAATCGTTCAGCCTGATGATAGACAATACCGTGTTTCATAAACTCTACCAATCTAAACATTCTGAAACCCCACGTCCAAAGCTTTGTTCAATAAGGTAGTTTGACATATTCGTCTGTCCTTACTTTAATTTTTAGAATTGGGAAAAATTCTGTGCATACAAAAGCTGATCTCAAAGAGATCGCAAATGAAATGAGAGCAAAAGACACGGAGGACAATCAGGAGAGCATTCTCCATCGACTTCAAAGAAGCTTTGAAAGCCTGGGGAATATACTCTCTGACAGGAGTAATTACATTACACCAATCGAAGTTCTAACTAGTGGCATTGTTCCAGCCCTATTGGAGTGTCTTTCCATGTCTTGCTGTGATTGTTGGGGAAACAAAGTAATCGCACTTTTCAAATATTACCTTTAACATTTATTTATATCAAATGGCAGGCGTCTTGATGGTTATCATTAGCCCTTTAGTTGACTTCAAGCTTCACAGAGGGGAAGGAACATCAAAGTAAAAACAATTCGAGAGGGGGGAGAGAAGAGTGTTTCAAAAACGAAGGTAGAAAAGGTAGAAAAAAGGTGAGGTGAGTACTGTGGGAGTGGTGGAATATGACCACATACAGTGGGGTCATGGTAGTTTGAAGTGAGAAGTCAACTGCTAGTTAATAGACATTTTTGTCGAATGCTTATACCTTTAACAGTACTGCCTTAATGGATAAATTTTCTATTTCTTTTTTATTTATGTCGCCAAGAACAATGAGGAGTCAAGGAATCTTCACTTCTTATTAAAACGGCGTCGACTCTTTCTTGACACACTGGATGACAAGCGAATCTTTGCAAGACTCGTGAAAATTCTTCTATCTG